AGAGAGTACACCTTAAGCAGGCTCCATGCTCAATGCAGAGCCTGGCGTGGAGCTCGAATTCACGAACCCGCGAGATCATGACCTGAGCCGAGGTCAGACGCTTAACTGACTAAGCCACCCAGGTGCCCCTGAAATGGATTGTTTTATTCTTGAGTATACTATGAAGTAGGGCCAGGTTTAAAGACAGCTAAACAAGAAAACTTAGTATGTTTCACTTCAACTATGTTCTCAAATCAGAGATGACAAGCTTCAGGTGATAATGTGCCCATCCTACCTCTGACAGGGACCAGGTAGAAGGTCCCATCCCATTCTCCTCTCCTCTAGCTGTTATATTATTTATAGTGTGGTCATCTGTTCAGTAAACATATGCGGAGCAGCTCTAATATGCCAGATGTTGGGGTTATAAAGATGATTTGATCACAAGTCCCTGACCTCAAGGATTCCACAGCTGAGTAAAATGATCTGAAGTGACCCATTTTAATTTTAAGCACACTTTTAAAGGCTCTTAGAATTTCCAAATTGTTCTTTCTGAAGTTTAATTTTCAAAGGTGATTTTACTTTTACGAATATTTATAACACTAACTTTCATTAAATACAAGTTATGTTAAAAATGAAATAAATATATCTTAAAGAAAATAAAGTTTTGAAATTGGTCCACCTTCTTCTAAAATATGGAGAACATGTAACAGGAAAAGATGGGACTAGTATTCTACCATCTATAAGATAAGCTGATACTAAGATTTGCTTTGCAAAATGACTAACAGTAGGCAACACAATTACCAAAGTCATATACTTTTTAAAAATATACCAACAGAAGTACATTTACAGCTTTAAACTTGTCACAGCATTTTTGACATTTCATTTTCACAAAACCTTGAAAGGTATGTGGTGAGGGCCCCATGAAGAGAAAAACAGGTACAGAGACGTCAAGCAACTTCTCAAGAAATGGGAAGGTAGCAGAACCAGTGCTAGAATCCAGCCTTTTGCCTTTCCCACTGGAGTCTCCATTTAGACCCAGAGGTGGAACACAAGGAAGTAACAGCTCCAACCAGGCTGTCAGTGTAAATCATCATCTGCCCAATCTGCTCCTCCTTGTTTTCTGACCATGGCTTCACCATCCTCATTACCCAAACTGGATACAAGGGCCAAGAGTACCATATGGAGTATACCTTTGTGAAATACAGCCTCATATCTCCATGGCTCTCCCAATCCTCATTCAGCTTCAACAATGATGCCATCACACTGCTCTATAAAACACATCTGTGCTATCTTATTCTCCTGCTTAAAACCTTAGAATGGCTACCCAATGTTTACAAAAAGTTCAAATTTTGTAATCCTCTAACACCTTTCACCATTTGTTCCCAACCTAACTTTTAAATCTTATTTCCCTATACTATAATTCACATACCCTATGATACACCAGAGGTCAATATACTGCTGTCATTCTTACCTACTCCTTCTCCTCCTCCATACCTTTGTTTATATTCTCCCTTCATCTTAAAAAAAAATTTATTTTTAATGTTTATTTTATTTGTGAGAGAGAGAGAGAGCATGAGCAGGGGAGGGGCAGAGAGGGAGACACAGAATCTGAAGCAGGCTCCAGGCTCTGAGCTGTCAGCACAGAGCCTGACGCAGAGCTCGAACTCACGAACTGTGAGATCATGACCTGAGCCGAGGTTGGACGCTTAACCTACTAAGCCACCCAGGCGCCCCTTCCCTTTCGTCTTTTAAGGTGCAAACTCAAAATGCACCTCCACAATGAAGCCCTGCTTGAATTCCACAAACCAGAGAAATCAATCTTTTCTGAATTCCTTGGCCTTTAAACCTACACTTCTCTTTGGACACTTTTCTAGCCTATATTATGGTTACTTATGTATATGACTTACATCCCCTTCATGGTGGCTTCTTGTGGACAGGTGCTTATCTCATTTAGTCAACCAACAAACATTGACATGAATATATACTATGTTCTAGGAATGGGAATATAGCAGTGAATAAAACAGACCAAAACCCTGCCCTCATGGAATTTACCTTGTGTTGGAGGTAGGGCAAGACAATTAAAAAAAAATAATAATAAATAATAATATTATATTGGAAGGTGGTAAATACTATGGTTAAGGGCATTGAGGAGTTGGGTTGAGGGGATTCTATTTGAACTAGTTTGGTTAAGAGGCCCAGTGGAGAAGATAACACTGAGTAAAGCCCTGAAAGAGACAGGAAAAGAACAAAGCTGAGAAAAAATGCAAAGGCATGGAGGTATGAACTGTTATGCAGCTTTCCAGGAAAAGAAAGGCCACTGTGGCTGACACTGAGTGAACAAGGGTAGGCAGGATACCACAGCAGGGTATTTTTATATAAAAGAAATATCCTGAAAACAAGTGTAATTCTTTTTTATCATTTCCCTCTAAATAGTAATAGCTACTACTTACTGAACACCTATGAAACACTGTTCCAGGTAACTGATACACATTATTTCTAATACATACAATGAGAAGAAGGTATCTTTATCCCCACCTTACAACTAAAGAAACCAAACCTCCAAGGGGTTAAATCACATGCAGAGGACCACACAGAAAGTTATACAGTCTGAAATGGAACCTAAGTGTCTACTAGACTCTACTTCTATATGGGCTGCTCACACTGAATGAAAACTAATATTAGAGTTCTTAATCTTTACTTCTGTTTGGTTTCCACTGATTTAACTTTTTCCAATCTCTTACTTTGCTAATTATTTTTAAAAAGTTTTCTTTAATGTTTATTTTTAAGAGAGTGAGAGCGAGCGGGGGAAGAGCAGAGAGAGCAAGAGACAGAATCTGAAGCAGGCTCCAGGTTCTGAGCTGTCAGCACAGAGCCCGATGCAGGGCTCAAACTCTCCAACGGTGAGATCACGACCTGAGCAAAGTCAGCCAACTTAACCGACTAAGCAACCCGGCTTCCCGCTAATTATTTTTAAAAACGGTACTTATAAATACTGCAGAACTTAAATCTCCAATCCAAATTTAGCAACATCAGTTATAAATTAAAATTTTAACTTACATGTAAGTTTAATATGGTCTCTCTTATGAAAAAAAAGGCTGGAAGAGGTCAGAGATGACTTATTCACTCTCATTTCCTTGTAAATAATACTCTTTATTCTCATTTAAAGTTTTAAACCCTGGTAGAGTAGCTCCGGCCTGGAAAGAAGAAAATACATAAGTAAGCAAAAGGACTGAACAGTTACCAAACAGTTTCAAAAATTTGGCTACTAGCCTCCATACTCTTTTTACTTACCAACATGAAACCTACTCAACCAAGCATAAACAACATAGTACTTCAACAGATAGCTTACTGCAATGAAACAAAGATCTCTACTCTCCCATCTTACTTTTACTACTAAAAAAAAAAAAAAAGTACTACTTAGGTATATGGTTTATAGAGAATTTCTAAAAACAGAAAACGTAGTCCTGTATTAAACGAATTGAAAAACCTAGTGAACAAATTAAAGAGACACAAAAACAAAACTAAACGTATATAGAGTTTTTATGAAAAGGAAGGAGGGATTAAATGACTTTATAAAAGTTAGGAAATTAAAAGTCATGTTCAATGGCTGACTTCTAAAACTTGTTCAACGGTCAGTTAATATCTCCGCAGCAGCTGAAACAATCTAAAACTCACAACAAAACGAAAGCTATGTGAATGAGCTGAATGAACTGGTGCCCCGACAGGGTCAAGCCAGATTTCCATAGAATTTAATAGCAACCCAATTCGCAGTGGGATTCCTTGAGGCAGGGTAAGAGGAAAAGCCCTTCCATTTCACAACACACGTGTTCCCAGGGAAGAGAAAGGCGCCCCTGAAGGGCCCCTGCCTACCCAAGACCAGCAGATTCGACCACAGCCCCTTCGCCCTTGCTTGAAAGAAAAAATTAAAAACTGGCGACCTCACCCCAACTGGAGGCCGCCCATGGTCCCCTCCACTACCTGGCCCTGGTCACCTCCGCTCACACGCCCACACAGGCCGCACGGGCCGCCCCTTCTTGAGCTCGCGCGGCCAGTGCCTTAGACGCTGTCCAGTAGGAGGTGAGAGCATCCAGGGCTGCAGCCGTGCGCGCCGCCTCCTCCATGGGGGAGCGCCGAGAGGAGCCTGCCCCGGATGACCCGCGACCGCTGCCGGGACCTAGAGCTGTAAGTAGCCGAGGAGAGCCTGGGCGCGGTCGAGTGACGCAAAAGGAGGCGCGCGCACGCGCAGTGCAACGCAGCAAAGGCCCGCCCCGGCCCACCTTACTGTGGATTTCCGGTTTCTTTAGCTGGCCTTGGGCTGTGGAGAGCAAAGAGAGCGGGGCGGGATGAAGGAAGGAGTGGATGCAATATTTTGCAAAGTAGGTTCGACGAGCAAGTGATTGAAGTCAAAGAACTGTGTGCTGCTTGCTTAAAATGCGAATTCCCTTACGCGGTTACCGTGTAAAGCTGCATTTTAAGCAGACTGCCTAGCAATCCCTAGGGAAATGGTGCTCCGAGAGGGCAAGGGGCGGAGCTAGGGCTGGGCCAGGAGGCTGGAGGCGGGTCCCGGAACGCGGAGGTGCGAAACCAAGTGGTGGGGGCGGGATTGGGCTCCAAGTGGGGCTCTTTCTTCCCGAGGGTGACCTAATCGAAACCCGTAGAGATGGCGTTCTCCTTAGTGGTTTGGTAAAAGCGCCTTTTGAGACACTTGGAGCAGAGATGTATTTCTCATGAGATACATAGGCAACCCACTGTTAGACTATCCCGCCTTGGCTTTCTTAGAACCCACAATCATGGTTTTCTATAAAGTGGACAAAGACAGAGGGCTCATTTATAAGAGGAGGGAGCGGGATGGGGTGCGACTAGCCAGGTCGGGTTATAGGTGCCAAGGTCCTCTGAGTATGTTGTTCCTGTTTCTGAATAGATTAAAAAACAACAACAACAACTAGTATTTGAAATGTTAATCATGTAGAATGGGCTTTTTTCTTTAAGTTTATTTTGAAAGAGAGACCACGAGCTGTGGAGGGGTGGGAAGAGAGAGAGAGATCGATCACAAGCAGGCTCTGCACTGTGAGTGCAGAGCCTGAGGTGGACTTGAACCCATGAACCATGGGATCAAGACCTGAGCTGAAATCAAGGGTCCCATGACCACCAACTGACCCACCCAGGTGGAGGCGGGGTGGGGTGGGGGGGAATGTTTTTTAAGTGAGTGCTTGTTGAACCAGAAAATGCCAAATATAATTTGCTCTTTTCAGACTAGTCTAATTGGACTACACAGCCCCTACACTCTGGTTTTGTTATAAGTGACTTTGCAGCCACTAATTTAAAAGTTTTTAATCTTTTGTGAGCTTGGTAACCAGCTAATCGTGCCATTTTAGAACTGACTCAGAAGGCCTTTTTGGCTTATTTCTTTGGTCTCAGCCAAATTCTAGCTGGATTACATAGCCAAATAAGGAATTACATTACATATTGAAAGATGGTTGGCATGTTCGTCTCTGATGATGTGATAGATTGATGAAAAATGGCGGCAATTCTCTGCTTATAAATGTACCCAAACATTTTGCAGAGTGACTTTGCAGCTCCACCCCATCCCCTGATTCTGCCTTGGCCTTGGGACTGGGGATAGTTTTTGGCCAAGAAAATGTGGTGGTTCCCAGCCTAAATTTTGCTAAGAAACTGGACTAGCTTGCTGGAGAAGGAGACCATGTGGAACAGAGCAACTTGCAAAGCTACCCAGATGAACCATACTGTGTCCAAACTCCAGAGACTGAGCCAACAGACTGATCCAATTGGTTGAATGCACTGTTGATCCACAGACCTATGAAAAAGACTAAATGATTGTTGCTTTAAGCCACCAATTTTGATGTGGATTGGTATGTAGCAATAACTAACAAATGCCAACAGATACCTATAGGAGGCAGATGATTATAATGAAAGTAGTGGTTTGCATGAATACTTAGAAATTATGTTAATTTAAGGAATTTGTTTGCAGGTCTTCTCTGCCAGTATTCTAATCATTCCAGCAAAGCCCTGCTTCATCTATTCAGCTTTCTCTCTTTGTTGTAGTCCACAGACTCCTCTCACATTTATCTGGTCCTCCCATCTGACACTTAACGGTCACATTATACAATGCATTGTTTCATAAGTGTACATAACATACCTTGCTAACATTATGCAGGCTTCTTAAATGCCCAGATCACTCTCTAGCACGTGATGTTGCATTTCTTTTTTTTTTTTAATTTTTTTTTAACATTTATTTATTTTTGAGACAGAGAGAGAGCATGAACAGGGGAGGGTCAGAGAAAGAGGGAGACGCAGAATCCGAAACAGGCTCCAGGCTATGAGCTGTCAGCACCGAGCCCGACGTGGGGCTCGAATCCACGGACCACAAGATCGTGACCTGAGCTGAAGTCGGAAGCTTAACGACTGAGCCACCCAGGCGCCCCAGCATTTCTATATATAATGTGAATGCTCAAGCATTGATCATAAGACATTTTTAAATTTTTAAAAATCCACTTCCTTTTCAAACACTGCTGGTGGGATTATAAAATAGTGCAACTTCCTCGGAAAACAGTTTGGCAGTTCCTTAGAGAGTTAAACATATATCAACCATATGACCCAGATGTTCTATTCCTAGGTATTTATCCAAAAGAAATGAAAGCATATATCCACTAAAAGACTTGTAATTGAACATTCAATAGCAGCTTTATTTGTAATGGCCAAAAAAATGTAAACAACTCAAATGTCCAACAACAAAGCAACTGTGGATGAGCAACTGTGGTGTATCCATATAATAGAATACCACTGAACAATAAAAGGGAATGAACTACTGATACATGTTATAACATGGCTAATTCTCAAAATAATTTTGGTAAGTGAAAGAAGCCAGACCAAAGGAGTATATAATAAACAATTGTAATATATAGTAACAAAGTGGGTGGTTGACTGGGAGTGGAGGGAACAAGAAAGGCAGAGAGGGATCATAGTGGGTGGGGCAAAAAGAAACTTTGGGGTGATGTATATGTTTGCTGTTTTGCTCATGGTGATGCGATCAATCTGTAACATCATATCACATACATCAAAACCTACCAAATGTATATTTTATATATGTGCAGTTTACAGTATGTCAATTATACCTCAATAAAGCTGTAAAATTTTTTGTCAGTTATAGAAACAAGCTATATAAGCAAGACTTCTCTACTAAACAGTATTTTTGAAAATCATGTATTAGTAAATCAAATAGTTTTCTCATGTCTAAATTGTTCTTAAGTTGCTCTTCTGTGTTTTGGTTTTGTTACCACAGAGGCCAGCCAAGAGTCCAAGAACAGCATTTCAGGTGTACAATATAGTGATTCATCACTTGCATACAACACCGTGTGCTCATCTCAACAAGTGCATCACCTATTTAACCCTAATCCCCATTACTTATTTAAACCATCCCCCCCACCCATCTCTCCTCTGGTATCTCTAGCATTTTAAAGGTATTATATAAATGTTTTCCAATTAATATTATTAAGTTTACTCAAGACCATAGACTTAAAAATGTAGTAGGGCATATTCTAAAAACATTTGTTGGAGGGAGAGAGGAGAGCTGTCTGGAAAAGATAGTAATAACTTGAAGTAAATTTAGGTAGAACACTAGGATGTTCATTAAAAGCCAGGAATTGGCTTTTAATAATTACCTCATTTGATGAAATGGGGAGTGGATATGGTAGGCAGAATAAAGCCCCCTTCCCCAAAGATTTCCACAGTTCTAACCCATAGAACCTGTTACTATGGGTTAGAACTATGGGTTAGAGGCAAAAGGGACTTTGCACCTGTGATTGAATTAAGGGTCTTGAGATGGGGAGATAATCCTGGATTGTCCAAGTGGGTACAAAATAATTACACGGGTTTTTATAAGAAGGCAGGGGCGCCTGCAGGCTCAGTCAGTTAAGTGTCTGACTTGATTTCAGCTCAGATCACGATCTCCTGGTTCATGGGATTAAGCCCTGCGTCAGGCTCCACACTAAGAGCATGGAGCCTGCTTGGGATTCTCTCTCCCCGCCCCCACCCCTCCCCGTTTCTCTGCCTCTCCCCCATGCACACATGTTCTCCCTCTTAAAAAACAAAAAACAAAACAAAGGCATAAGTGTCAGAGACAGAGAATGAGATATGACAACGGAAGAAGGATCAGGGAGATGCAACATTGCTAGCTTTAAAGTTGCAGAAAGGGGAATGAGCCAAAAAATGTGCAAGGCCTCTGGTGAAAAAGGCAGGGAACAGATTCTCACCTAGAGCCTCCAGGAAGAATATAATCCTGATAACACCTTGATTTTAGCCCAGTTAAATTCATGTTGGATTTCTGTCCTCCAGAACTGTAAGATAATAAATTTGTGTTGTTTTAAGCCAAAAAGTTTGTAGTAATTTGTTAGAGCAGCAATAAGCACACCAAATTAGGGTAAGGAGGACACTAAGATCCCCCTAACATCATCACCAAAAGTAAAAGGATTTCATTTTATAGACAGGCAACCACACTTTGACTTCTCCATCTTCCATCCCTTTATTTCAGTTATTTTATATGGATTTGTTGTGTTTGTTACTTGATTAGCATCCCTCCTACCCTGCTTGCCATGGTGCAATTCAAATCCCAACTTTCAAATTTCCTCAGCTGGAATCCTTCTCTTCTGAACTGCTAGTACAGATAGAAGTATCTTTGTTTTTGTTTCCTGACTGCCTTAGCTCTCAAACTCAAAAAAACTTTTTGAAACGACCATGTGAGGTTTGAAATATGGTGTACCAGGTGATAAACATTAAAACAAAGATGCCAACAATGCCATGAGTCATCAGAGAGGCACATGACTCAGGAACAGAGAAAATAGAGCATAAGCTCTTTGGAGGGCAGGGGGCATGCCTGATTTTATACAACCCTCAGAACTAGGTGCAGTACTACTAGCTACTACTGTGCTTGGCTAGAAGCTGAAACTTACAGTTCTATACTAGTAACCAACCAGGACAAGTTTTTGTAGAATTTGGCACTTACACGCTTCACAACCTCAAAAACCTGTGTGGAAAGGGGTATCCATAGAAACATTTGGTGGTTTTTAAAAATGTCTGTTCCTGATTTCTAAATATATATAGTTTGATCAAAATGTGAGTAATTAGGGGCACCTGGCTGGCTCAGTCAGTGGAGCATGTGATTCTTGATT